ATGACAAACAGCAGTGGCCCCAAAACAGATCCTTGAGGTACACCACTCGTAACTGAAAACAGTAATCTGTTTGTGTTCTGGTTTGGAGTCAGGCTGGTTTTATAATATAATAATTTTATAGTGTAATAACATTCAAGGCCATGGGCCTAGTGCGGGAATGTGAAACTAATGAAGGTAGTCATGTATTTTTGGTAATTCAGACTCTATGAGCTAAAGGCCTCTTCTGTATTCTATGATTCTATGATTCTAAGGCTTGTAGAGACAGTGTGAGTAGCATCACAGTAGATTTTGTGACAATTTCCCAAATGTACCTAATGTTGCCAAGATACAGCAAAAGAATCCATAGATGCTCTTTAAATCACAAATAAATGACCACCTTGATGCTGTTAGTTAATAAATGAAGTCAGAAGTCACATGAAACCACATTATAGTTGAACAGATTTATTTGAAATCACAAGCTTTCAGGTGATGTGACGAAGGAGCAGCACTCTGAAAGCTTATGATTTCAAATAAACCTGTTGGACTATAACCTGGTGTCGTGTGGCTCCTAACTTAAAAACGTAGAAACATAGAAAATAGGCGCAGGAGTAGGCCATTCAGCCCTTCAAGTCTGCACCACCATGCAATATGATCATGGCTGATCATGCAATTTCAGTAACCCATTCCCACCCTCTCCCATATTCCTTGATCCTTTTATCCACAATAGCCATGTCTAGTTCTCTCTTGAATACAGCTAATGAATTGGCCCCAACAGCTTTGGGTGTGAGAGAACTGCACAGGTTCACAACTCTGAGTGAAGAAATTCTTCCTCATCTCAGTCCTGAATGGTTTATCTCTATTCTTAGACTGTGATCCCTTGTTGTGGATTTCCCCAACATTGGTGACATTCTTCCTGCATCTAACCTGTCCAGTCCCATCAGATTTTATATGTTTCAATGAGATCCTCCTTCATTGTTCTAAATTCCAGTGAATACAAAGCCAGTCAATCCAGTCTTACTTCATATGACATTCCTGCCATCCCGGGAATTAATCTAGTGAACCTTCACTGTATTCTCTCAATAGCAAGAATTTCCTTCCTAGGAGACCAAAACTGTATCCAACACTCAAGATGTGGCCTCAGCAAGGCCCTGTATAACTGCAGCAAGACATCCTTACTCTGATACTGAAATCCTCTCGCTATGAAGGTCAGCATGCCATTAGCTTTCCTCACTGCCTGCTGCACCTGCATGCCAACCTTCAGCAACTGTTCCATCATGACACCCAGGTCTCATTGCACCTCACCTTTTCCTAAACTGCCACCATTCAGACAATAATCTGCTTTCCTGTTTTTGTGACCAAAGTAGATAACCTCACATTTATCCACATTATATTGCACTTGCCAGTATTTGCCCACTCAGCCAGTCTGTCCAAGTCACCCTGCAGCCTCTTAGCATCATCCTCAAGGCACACACTGCCACCCAGCTTAGTGCCATCTGCAAATTTGGAGATATTGCATTCAATTCCTTCATCCAAATCGTTAATGTATATTGTGAACAGCTGGTGTCCCAGCGCTGAACCATGCGGTACCCCATTCGACACTGCCTGCCTTTCTCCACCTCAGTCCAACACTGGTATCTCCACATCATTTATAAATGAATGACTGATATATCTTGGCATCTGATGACTGAATGCACTGACGGGGAAAACATAACAAATCAGGAATGTTTACCTTAATCAGTTCATCCTGTGTTGCAAATTTGGGATGAGGTCCTCTGAAAGTGCCATCTCTATATTTTAATTTAATGAATTCCCTCCGCCTTTCTATAGTGGCATCTGTATCCAACTCTTCTCCTGGAGTCACCCGTGCAGCCCAGAACCGATTTGCTTTTTCATTCCCTAAATCAATGAAAAGCTGTAAGAGAAAGAGGCAATACTTGTTCAATAATGATATCACAAAATATCTTCATGTAATCATCAGATATTTTACATTAATTTAAGAACTAATTAAGTGGTACAAGTTGTATTATTTTTGTGACAGAGCTTTGTGCTGACATTTGTGATTCCCCAATTCCAACTTTCTGCATCGCTCAATAACTATCCTTTATTGCTGTTCCTGTATTTTGGATTGAGACGAGTGGGCGTCCCGTTCTGAAAATATATCAAATATTAAAAGTGACAGTCCTCTGACCTGCACAATTTCATTGCTCCATATACTTGTGTCCAGTTTCAAACTTTGTACTTTTGAGACGGTTGTTCCTAAGCCCCGATGTTCACCTGGAAAAAGCAGAAAGAAACATGAGAAATCATTGCTTCAACTGAAAAATCCATACCCTCCTCCAATATATATTTAAATTATATTCAGGCAGGTTGAAATTATTGTTTGAAACCTGAGAGGTAATTTGGTAATAGCTGTTGACAATTTACCTGCACATTTCTTACAGATAACAACGCAAAGGTTAATAGATGCCCAATCAGGATTCTGTGCTTTGCAGTCTGCACATGCTCTGTTCGACTTGTTAGACCAGATCTTTTCAGCCACCTCATAGTCAGACAGAGTCTCGGCAATCGAGTCCTGAAGTGCCTCGATCCATTCTTTCTTCTCTCGTTCAGATTCTGCTGCGAAACTGCACCATTCAAAAGCACAAAACATTATTACAATAACATTGCTATTAAATCTATTACTTAATTCAGTTCAGCCTGCCTTTGTCTACTTGCAGTGAAATCTCAAAATGAAATTTTCTGACCCAGGTAAGATAGCAGTGAAGGTCAAATCCATTAGCTTGGTGAATAGGTGATCCTTTTCATTTGACCCAGTTGAGAAACCACAATTAATTTGAGTCAATCACACAGGAGACTTTCAGGCAACGTAGAAATCAAGTTTGGTCAAGATTTTATTCACATAAATATCTTTTCCACCCTGCAAACTTATTCAATATAAAATTTCAGGTTGCTTCGTCTCATTTTCTGCAAATTTCTCAAGAAAAAATGTTATATAAAACTTTTAGAAATTTCTTTCCCTTTTATATTTTTGTATTGATGTACATTCTATGCAATTCTAAAGTTCTACATATAAATGCAAGCCAAGTGTTCTGTTTGAACATAATCTATGACAAAGCTAGTTACATAGAGCACTGTGGTATAATAGGTTAATGGCTGGCATGCTAATAGCTAGACTGTATTTCAATGATAAAAGTTGATGCCATATCTCATGGACCTGGCATCTGTGGTTCTGCGGGAATCCTGTGAAAGTCATCTCTGTAAATAATGCCAACATCCAATAATCATTTATTAGCTTGCATCAATATGACTTCCAGCTATAAATGTCAGAGGAAGTGATAGCAAAGGATTTTATTATAATGTATATGGGTAATCCAGTAGTCTAGTAATTCAGAGACCCAGGTTGTTTTATGGCAAACTGGGTTTAAATACCACTATAACAGACAGTGAAATTTGAATTCAATTAACACAGGAATCAAAAATCTAATGACAACCATGGGCTGAGTTTCAACTTTTTAGGCAGTGGCGCTTTTATTGAGTTTCTCGGAGGATTTCTCGCTGCCACACCTAATGAGATCTCTTGCTGTATGGTACTAACTTGCCGCATTAACTAACCTGACTCAAAAGCACACCACTGGACTGATTCTAGCCTCATCTTGCCTCGTGCTTTTCCTTGACTGTGGCTGGGACAATCTGAAATTGACCAGCATTTCTGGCACCAGCGCCATCTTTACAAGGCTGTTGAGCATGCAGACAAGCTCTGTTAGTCCAGAGCTGCCCTGCATAGTTCCTGACATTTGTCCCTGACATGGCAGGCAGGTGGATATTGGTACCATGCTGTGTGAGCAGGAACCTGGAGGTCCTGTTTTGCTTTTCTTTACTCATTACCAGGATGAGGACATTGTTGGCTAGGTAGCATTTATTGCCCATCCCTAATTGCCTAGGGGGCAGTTGAGTGTCAACCACATTGCTGTGGGTCTGGAGTCACATGTAGGCCAGACCAGATAAGGATGGCAGTTTCCATCCCTAAAGGACTTAGTGAACCAGATGGATCTTTCCAACCATTGATTCATGGTCATCATTAGATTCTTAATTCCACAATCTGCCATAGCAAAGCCGGGACCTCAGAATATTATCTGGGTCTCTGGATTAACAGTCCAGGGATAACACCACTAGGCCACCACCTCCCCATGTTGGATGGGGTGATTTGGAGGTAGGATGTCCTCTTCCCTGGGACCATTAGTGAGGCCCATGCCCAGCCTGGTCCAAAAGTGTCCTCTGGGTCAGTGCAGTCTCAGCATCTGGAGGAATGCCAAGTGCTGTAGCAAGAAGGTCAATGATCAGGGGAGGCAATGGCCTAGTGGTATTATTGCTGGACTGTTAATCCAGACACACAGATAACATTCTGGGGACTTGGTTTGAATCCCGTCATGGCAGATAGTGGAATTTGAATTCAATAAATATCTGGAATTAAGAATCTAATTATAACTGTGAATCCATTGTTGATTGTCAGGAAAAACCCATCTGGTTCACTAATGTCCTTTAGGGAAGGAAACTGCCATCCTTACCCGGTCTGGCCTACATGTGACTCCAGGTCCACAGCAATGTGGTTGACTCTTAACTGCCCTCTGGGCAATTAGGGATGGGCAATAAATGCTGCCTAGCCAGCAACACCCTCATCCTGTGAATGAATAAAGAAAAAAAAATCAGCTAAACTCAGTAGCAGCAGCATGTGCCAGCTAGAAGATGCGCTGTAGAAATTAAATCCATGACCACTATCACCTACCTATGGTATATGGATGGCAGTGGTTCAAGAAGGCAGCTCATCACCAACTCCTCAAGGGACATCTACGATTAGACAATCAATGCTGATCCAGTCAGCAATGCCTATGTCCCATTAATGAATAAAAAATAAGTTTCCAGAACCCAGTTCTGACCTGTTGGTGGCAACAGTCTACGAACCTTTCACTGAGGACCCAAAGACAATGTTAAAGGTGAAAAGGTGAAAAGTCTTTGCCCCAGATTTGAGGAAAATCCTGTAACATTATACCTAGCCACTACTCATCACGAGAGTCCTGCGACAGCTGACTACAAGATGATGCAGAGAACTTCAGAGAGCGTCTTCCCTCTGTTCCAGCACCTGGATCCCAGAGGCAACCATTACGAAAATGTGTATTGAAAACTCACTCAGAAACCAGGAAGAGATCAAAGACTCCTTTATACAGTCAGCAGCTGTATTGACAATATTTAAATATGTCTCGGGATGATTAGGAATCTACTAAATATGAAGTGGTCATCTTATTATACAAAATAATAATAACAACAATATTCTTCTGATTTGGCACCTGTTAATTCTGAAGATGGGAGGATCCCTAAAAAGAGGCATAAACAAGCAGAACTTGGAGGTAGAGAGCATTGTTGCTGCATTAATTGATGTTTCATGTGTGAAAACACATCACCATCAAACTTTCCCTGTCTTTGATGCAGAATGTCTCAGGAGTGGGCATTGTAGATAGCTTTCAACCCCAGCTTGAACATTGAAAGAGATACTACTCCAAACAAAAGCTTTCAATGAACAAGAGAACACTTGTGAATATTAATCAATGTTTGTGTGTGAGGTTCCAGAACACAAAGGGTAATTTTGGACTGCCGATATAACGGTCAATGGCAACAAGACATGTTTAAATTGGACACATATGCAGCTATCTCCATTCTTTCAGATACCACACTTGTTTCTGGTCATTTGATAACATTACCCAAGGGTTGAATTCTACTAAAGATACATGGCCAGAAGGCTGTTATGCATTAATGCAAGAAAAATTATTTCAGTGAAGTCCACGAAGTGATCTATAATGAGAAATCCTCCTGCAGAGCCTTTATGGACTTATATCCTCAAGCTGAATCAGCTAAACAAGCAGGCAGCTCAAACAAGCTGAACGTGGACCTGGGGCAGTATGTCCACAGGTCTCTGTAGGCAACAGGTCAGGTTAATAAGGTTATGAAAGCATATGGGCCACTTGTCTTTATTAGTCGTATCACAGGGTCATTGATGTGTGAAGCACAGTAAAAGGCCCTTCGGCCTATCGGGTTTACCCTGGTCAGAAGCAACCACGTAACTATTCTAATCTCATTTTTGCAGCATTTGGCCCATAGCCTTGTAGGCCTTGGCAATTCTTAAATGTTTTGAGAGTTTCTGCCTCCACCACCCAAACAGGCAGTGAGTTCCAGGATCCTACTACCTTCTGAGTGAAAAACAAAATGAACTGGAAAGGCTGGGACATTTTTCACTGGAGTGTAGAAGGTTGCGGGTAACCTTATCGAGGTTTTTAAAATCATGAGGGACATAGATAAGGTGAATGACAAGTGTATTTTCCCTAGGGTGGAGGAGTTCAAAACTAGGGGGCATATTTTTAAGATGAGAGGAGGAAGTTTTAAAAAGGGCATGAGGAGCAACCTTTTCACACAGAGAGTGGTTCATCTATAGAATGAACTGCCAAAGAAAGTGGTGGATGCAGGTCCAGTTACAACGTTTGAAAGACATTTGAAGAAGTTCATGAATAGGAAAGGTTGGAGGGATATGGGCCAAGCTTAGGTGGATGGGACTAGTTTGGTTGTGGAGCATGGTTGGCGTGAACTGGTTGGACCAAAGGGTCTGTTTCCATGCTGTATGACTCTTTGACTCTGTGACTTCCTCTAAACCTCCAGCCTCTAATCTTAAGTCCATGGCCCTTGTTCATTGATCCCTGCACCAAGGGGCATAGATTAGAAGAGCAGGGACGCAATGTTGAAATGCACAAGATTTAGGTTAGCCACAGCTGGAGCACTACATCCAGTTCTAGTCACCAAACTACAGGCAGGAAAGGGGAGCAGATGAGATTCTCCAGAATGTTGCCTGGGCTGGGGCGTTTTATCGATGAGGAGGGGCTGGGTAAGCTCAGGTTCTTTTCTTTAAAGCAAAGAAGACTGGGGTGGCTAGGGTGATTACTGTGATTGAAGTTATAAGACTATGCCCCTAGTTACAGAATCACCAACCAGTGAAAATACTTTATCCTCATTGTTCCTGTCTGTTCCAGTTAATATTTTGAAGATTTCTATCAGATCACGGCTCTCACACTCAACCAAAAGTGAATTTTCAGAGTCTGCCACCGACTTTCTGGGATCAAGCTGAATCGCAAAAACCAGTGAACATCAAACATTTTCCATCACTTTTCACAGTCAACAAACACTAGTGCTTTAACGTAGAGCATAGAACATAGAAGAGTGGAGCACAGGAACAGGTCCTTTGGCCCACTATGTCTATGCTGATCATGATGCCATTCTACAGCAACACTTGGAACAAGATTGAGTTTGGCAACAACAACAGACTTTCAATACAATTGAGAATGTGCTTTGTTTTCATATGATCCAGGAGCAGAAGTAGGCCATTTTGTCCCTTAAATCTGCTCCACCATTTAACAACATCATGGCTGATCTGATTGTAACGTCAACTCCACATTCTTACCTACCCCTAATAACCTTTCAATCCCCTGTTTATCACAAACCTGTCAACAGCTGCATGTGAGATTCACACCCTGTTAACCTGTGGCAATAGAAATAGCAGAGACAATACAATACAAAATGACTTACCTGAAGGTTTTAAAAGGAGTAATTATCTCAAAACTTTTACGATTACTATCACGAATCGTAGCTCCCTGTACTTCAATCATTGTGATTCCAATCCCAGTTTTAAAACTCTGCCAGAAAACACAGTGTGCTAGTATCAGTTTGCTGCACAATTCCAATCATTCAAGATTTGTTGTCACATTTTCAACAGGTATCAACCAAACACTGAATATCCTTGAGGTTTTGAATATCTGTACTGTATTCTTAAACTGTCAGGAAGTAATTTTTAGATATTTACAAATTAACCTGCTCAGAGATGTTATTGCACACCTCTGGAGCAGGTAGGACTCTAAAGAGCACCACAAGAGATGTCAAGAAACAGCTTTTATTCTAAAAATCACAAATTGCTGGCAGGAGTTAACATTTTTCCTGAAGGATTTCAGTAGTTAATAAACCTAAGGAATTAAATTTATACAATGCAATATTCAAATCAAGGCCCTCTGCCCACTAGCTTCATAAAATTATTAAACCCAGATCTTCCAGTTGCTTGATATTTTAATACATCATTTTGCTTTCATGCTAAATTTTCAATCCTTGGCCAATTGCAGTATTTTAGCAGATTTCAATTCAAACTGAAGGAAAGCACTGATTTTCCACTTAGCAGTTTACAGTCTTCAGGGCTCAATATTGAGTTCAACAACTTCACAATGTGAACACTGTTCTTCATTTTGAAGTCCATCCACCCGATTCCTCATTTGTATGGATTTGCTCTCAGCATTCCATTAATAATATGTCCCATTAATACAAACTGTCCATCTATAGCTCTTCTCCAACGTTATTACAACTCCCTTCGCCTTTTGCTCTGCACATCTTCTGCATTACCACCTGCTCCTGTTCCTTTGTCAACAGCGTGAAAGCCACAGCTTTTTCAAGCCACTTCAGTTCTGAAGAAGAATCAAAGAATCACAATGGACTCAGAACATTAATATTGATTCTGTTTTCACAGATGTTGCCAGACCTGTGGAGTTTCTTCAGCACTTTTTGTGGTTTTTTTTGCTTCAGATCTTCAGCATCCTCAATCCTTTGCTTTTCCTGATACGTTCTTTACTGATATTACTTAGCAAAACAGTGAAAGATTGTGGTGATAAGGGAGCAGGTAAATAAGGAGATGTGTCATAGGACAGGGAGATGATTTTGTGGGTGACTGACGAGTGGACCAACAAGTCTTTTGGATGTGTTTGATGGTGGCAGCATGATGGAGGTGGCAGGAATGGTCGAGAATGAGCCATGAATACAGAAGAGGGTGGGATCAAAAGTGAGGGTGAGGAGATATCTATCATGGTTCTGAAAGAGAGGAGATGGGGTGAGAGCAGTACTGCATGAGATAGATCCTTCAGAATGGAGAACCCTGTCATATAAGCTACAGTGAGTCCTCGGTTCAGCAGGAAAGATGTGTTTTGGAAGAGCTAGGTAGATAATTACATTCTCTGAATAAATTCAACAAACATGCAAAAACTGGGAGAATGGAATCGACTTTTAGGGAAGTGTAGTTGAGTTGGCTGTGGGTGCCTGGGTATTTGTAGAGAGAGCTACTGACACTACACATTATCATTGAATCATAGAATCCCTACAGTCTGTGAGTAGGCCATTCAGCCTATTGAGTCCGCACCGACCTTCGAAAAGCATCCACCCAGACCATATCCCTGTAACCCTGCATTTCCCATGGCCAATCCCCCGTACCCTACACATCTTTTGCTATCCACAATGCTATCCACTGAACCACCATGTTGTGCCCAGAGTGTTTACCCAAGATTAACCAGTCCTAGTCTCTGAGTGTTTTCTTTACAGCAGACAAGGCTGAGAGGTCCTGATTGAAGGTAGCAAGATTGAAGTGAGCCAGAAGAATAGCAGAGCTGTGGTGGTAGGGGATTTTGTTGTAAGGGGTACAGTCAGGTATTTCTGCAGCTGCAACAGAGGCTCCAGGATGGGATGCTGCCTCTCTGGTGTCAAGGTCAGGGATGTCCCTGAACAACTTCAAACTGTTCTTAAGGGGGACGGGGAACAGACAGAGACTGTGATACATGTTGGTATCAATGACACAGTTAAAAAAAAGGAATGAGGTCCTGCAAGCATATTTTAGGGAGCTAGAACGTAGATTAAAGAATATGACCTAAAAAGGTAGTATATCTATGTATCGCTTCCGCTGTCACACACTAGTGAGTACAGAAGTAGGAAGTTAGTCCAGATGAATGTGTGACTGGAGAGATGGTGCAAGTGTGAGGGATTTAGATTTCTGGGACATTAGGACTGTTTTTGGATGCAGTAGGACCTGTACAAGATGCATGGATTCCACCTGAACCGGACTGGGACCAGCATCCTTCTCAGAAGGTTTGCTAGAGCTGTTGGATAGAGTTTAAACTAACTTGCAGTGAGGTGGGACTCAGACAGAAGAGTCAACAAGGGGAGATGAATGAACAAAATTAGAGGAGACAGCAAAGGAGTCAAGAAGACAGAAATGTTATAGGTCAGTTGAGGCACAAGGGAATTTAGTAAGATTGGATCGTTTTTGTTTTAACGCAAGGAGGTCTGACGAGCACGGCAGATAATTTGAGGGCAAAATTAAAACTGAGGCGTCTGATGCTATTGCTGTCACCGAGACATGGTTTAGAGAGGGTCAGCTCAATATACCAGGACACAGAGTCTTCAGGCAAGACAGGGAAGGAGGTAAAAGAGGAGGAGGGGGTGTCACAATTTTGATCAGGGAATCAATTACAGCAGTAAGGCGGGATGAAATATTAGAAGGCTTCTCAAATGAAGCCACATGAATAGAATATAAAAACAAAAAAGGAGCAATCACATCGTTGGGAGTGTACTATAGATCCCATAACAGGCTGACAGAAATAGGAGAGCCGGTAAGAAGACAAATTTCAGAGATGTGTAAATCTAATTGGTAGTTACAGTAGATATTTCAACTTCTCTAACATTAACTGAGGTAGTCATAGTGTGAAAGGTTTAAAGGGAGCAAAATTCTTAAAATGAATCCAGGAACACTTTTTAAGCCAGTAGAAGGCCCTACAAGGGAAGGTACAGTCCTGGACTTAACTTTAGGAAATGAAGCTAGGCAAGTGGGTGAGCTATCAATGCGGGAGCATTTTGCAAACAGCAATCATAGCACTGTTAGCTTCAAGATTGTTGTGGAGAAAGACAAGGATGGGCCTGAAATCAAAAGTCTAAGCTGGGGGAAGGCTGATTTTAATAAGATCAGTTATGATTTGCCCAGAATGAACTGAGAGCAGTTACTTTTCAGTAATCTGTATTAGAGTGCTGGGATGCATTGAAGAAGGAAATGGGGAGAAAACAGAGTAAGCATGTTCCAATCAAGGTTTACCAGAATGATTCTGAAGATGAAGGGCTTGTCGTAGGAGGAGCATTTGAGGATGCTAGGTCTGTACTCAATGCACTTTGGAAGGTTGAGAGAGGATCTGATTGAAACTTACAGAATACTGACAGGCCTGGATAGAATGGATGTGGAGAAGATGTTTCCACTAGTAGGAGAGACGAGAACCCAAGATCACAGCTACAGAATGAAGGGACAACCCTTTAGGTCTGAGATGAGAAATATTTCTTCAGCCAGACGGTGGTGAATCTGTGAAACTAATTGCCTCACAATGCTATGGAGGTTAAGTAATGGGGTGCATTTAAGAAGAAATAGATCAGTTCTTGATTGGTCAAGGGATCAAGGGCTTGGGGAGAAGGCAGGAGAATGGGGTTGAGAAACATACCAGTCATAATCGAATGGTGGAGTAGGCTTTATGGGCTGTATGGCCTAATTCTGCCTCTATATCTATGGTCTTATGACAGATAACAAGGGCCTAAAACAGCAGAAGTCCTAGGACTGCACAGAATGTGCAAAGGGAAATTTGAAAAGCAAATCAGGACAGCCAAAATGAGGCAAGAAAATCAAATGAGAGACAACAAGGTGCAGGGCTGGATGAACACAGCAGGCCAAGCAGCATCATAGGAGCAGAGAGGCTGACGTTTCGGGCCTAGACCCTTCATCAGAAAAGGGGGAGGGGAAGGGGGTTTTGAAATAAATAGGGAGAGAGTGGGAGGCGGATAGAAGAGGGATAGAGGAGAGGATAGGTGGAGCGGAAAC